AAAAAAAAAAAAAAAAAAGAGGGAATGTTCTGTCACTAAAAATTTTCAATCCCAGTCAGCCAGGAATTTTGTAGAAGGGATTTATTATGTGCTGGTATCAACAGGCCAGGAGGGTTTTAATCAAGCTTTGCTGTCTATGTTTGTTTATGGAAACACACACTTTTCATTTTCCAATTATAAAATTAAATTATTATAGGGATTATGCTCTTCAGACTACTCACATATCTCCTTCCCCTATTCTCCACCTCCACTAATGATTTCTAGATCACTGATTGTCACCACACTGGAATTATTTGGGGAGTTTTAAAAATTCTGATGCTGGGGTCCCACCTGCAGGGATGCTACATGCAGCCTGGGCATTGGGAATTTTCTAGTTCCCCAGGGAATTGTGCAGTCAAGGTTGAGACCTGGTCTAGATCCTTGCTACTCACAGTGTGATCTACAGGCCAGTAGCATCAGTATTACTTGGCAGCCTGTTAGAGACACAGACCCTTGGGCTCACTGGGACCCACTAAATCTGATTTCTGCATTTTAAAAAGATCTCCCAGGTAGCCTCAACCTCTAAACCCACCTTCACAGACTGTGATCCTTTAATAAGGATCAGTTGGCTGAGTCTTATGCTGGATTGTATTTGCTTTCCTTGAGCTCAAGCCTGCTGACCAGGGACAGCCTGGATAAGCAAGTGGCCTACTAGCCACAAAGAGGAGCAAGGCTGGGTGAATGTTTGCTGTGACTAAGCCGGGTCACAGAATGACTATTATTTGCACTGGTTGGCATTGAACTTGCAACTCTTGAAAACTGCTTCCTTTAACCGTATGGGTGTGTGCTTCAGTCACTATTACTGGCAGAGCTCTTCCAAGGGCAGCCTCCTGTGGATGTCCCCTGAAGCCTGAGTACAGGAAGGCACATTAATCTATGGCCACCTACAGGAGTGACTGCTGCCATAACCTATCTTGCCCTTTTTCTTGTGCTGTAGGCTAGGACTTTCATGAGTACATATGCCGCACCCAACTTGTGTTATTAGGGGCCGAGTATCCTCCCAGCTTTGAGTGTGGTCTCAGCTTTTACCATTTCAGTTCTCCATCCATCAGTCACTTGTGCCAAATCCATAATAAAAGTTCATCAGGCATTTGTGATATGAATGTTCCACCTGGCCTGTCTCGCCTCATTCTCTCCTCCCCCCTGGAAGGAGGAAGTTGGGGAATTTAATCAACTTTCTTCCCACCTGGCTTCTCCCACCATGTAGGCTGGGCGTCCACCAGGGGGAGCCCGCTGCCCAGGGTTGGCTCCTCTGGGCAGTAAAGGCCAGTTCCAGCTGGCTTCCTCTGCCCCCCTTCCTCGGTTTGGGTCGTGTCCCAGTGAAACTGTGGTCGATAACCCGTAGCCTTTCCCAGTCCTGTACATATTTGCACTCTCGGTTCCTCCTCCTCCTCTGGTGGAAACTTGCAGCTGCCCCACTCTTGCCTCTCTGGGCAGCCATATCTCCGTCCTCCCAGCCCTACGGCGGTTAGGGATATACATGGACTTTCCCTGGAAGGTTCCTGCAGAGATCACTGGAGCTGTGGAGCAGGGTGGGCATGCAAGGGGCAGAGGGACCTTAGATGCTTTTACTTGGAAGGGTAGTGTTGGTGCTTGAAAAGGTGGAGGGACAGTGCCAGTATCATGTAGAAACTTGGATCGGTGGCCGAGGGTCCATCTTCATCCCCTGCCTCAGAGAACCCCAGAATAGACTAATGTGGGAAGTGCCTATAGTCTGGGACCTTAGAGGACACCCATCCTTGAATCTGGTTGGCTTTATGCCATTGGTTCCAGAATTTGTGTAGCCCACTCCAATGATGGCCCCCTCTCAGGACCCTAAGGCCTAGATATTGCCCTCTCTCTTACCCATCTCCCCTTCTGCAGAAGGTATCTACGAGGCTTTTCTTTGTTTCCAGCCTTAGTTTCCTATCCCCCTGCAGGAGAGAATCAACAGTAGAAGGGCTGGAGTGGGGTGTCACCTATAGCTAAGGCGCCAGCCATATACACCAGAGCTGGTGGGTTCCAATCCAGACTGGGCCTGCCAAACGATGCCAACCAGAAAAAAAAAAATAGCTGGTGTGTGGCAGGCGCCTATAGTCCCAGCTACTAGGGAGGCTGAGGCAAGAGAATCGCTCAAGCCCGGGAGTTGGAGGTTACCATGAGCTGTGACACCACAGCACTCTACCCAGGATTATAGCTTGAGGCTCTGTCTCAAAATCCCAGGGTGATAGCTTGAGGCTCTGTCTCCAAAAAAAAAAAGAGTAGAAGGGCAGTGGCCACACACACTGTCCAGCTGTGGCTTCAGTCCCTGCTCTGCCACTTCAAATGCCTAACTTAGGGTGAAAGACTTAACTTATCCAAGTCTCAGCTAACTCATCTGGAAAATGGGGACAATGATAGCACCTGTCTGAGGTGATAAGATTAAATGAGGAACCTTGTTCCAGAGCTCCCTGTAGTAAGCAGTCCATAAACGTTAGCTATAAAGACTGGGCAGGGCTGCAAGCATGGGGATAGTTGGCTCCTCCATGGGAAGCTTTATGGATTGAGTAATTGGTGGGATTCTAGAGAGTTCTGAGTAGTGGGGAGGAGGAGGGGAAGTGGCTTTGCAAAGGACAGCACCTCCCTTCTGTCCCTCCTGCTCCTGGTCTCTCTCACTTATCCTCAGAGTTCCCCAGGCCTGGGTGAGGTATCTAACAAAGGCCCCCTTGTGTGGGTCTGTTTGTTGTGGTAATAAATTTCCTGAGCAACCTCCCTGGGGTGGGGTAGCCCAGCAGCCTGCAAAGAGCTGGCCTGGAAGCTGTAGGACCACATTGTTTAGTGGCCACTTTGGTCTTTTCCCTGTGTTTCTACCATGAGCTTGAGAGATTTGGCCAGTTTTTTTCTAGTTCTAGCTCTTATGACTTGATAAAGAGCTGGGTCTAGGCCAAAGTGGCTCATGTCTGTAATCCTAGCACTTTGGGAGGCCGAAGCAGGTGGATCACTTGAGTTCAGGAGTTTGAGAACAGCCTGAGCAAGAGCAAGACCCTCTCTACTAAAAATAGAAAAATAAGCAGGACATGGGGGCTGGCGCCTGTAATCCCAGCTACTCGGGAGGCTGAGGCAAGATGATTGCTTGAGCCCAAGAGTTTGAGGTTGCTGTGATCTAAGATACCACCGCACTCTACCCAGGGTGACAGAGTGAGACTCTATCTCAAAAAAGGAGGGAAAGAAAGAACTAGACCTAATATCATAGGGAGAGAGCTTTCTCCTTTTCCTTAAACTGAAGTTATGGGGTATGGTGGAATTTCTCATAAAAGAAGGGGGAAGGAAACCAAAATTTCACTGAGCACCTACTATCGGCCACTTAATACTGGCCACTCCCTATGAAATAGGCATTATCACAGCCCCTCCCCCTTTTTTAGAGACAGAGTCTCACTTTGTTGCCCTCAGTAGAGTGCTGTAGAGTGCACAGCTCACAGCAACCTCCAACTCTTGGGCTTAGGTGATTCTCTTGCCTCAGCCTCCTGAGTAGCTAGGACTATAGGCACCCGCTACAATGCCCGGCTACTTTTTGGTTATAGTTGTCATTGTTGTTTGGTGGGCCTGGGCTGGATTCAAACCCACTAGCTCCTGTGTATGTGGCTGGTGCCTTAGCTGCTTGAGCTATAGGCGTCAAGCCTATTACAGCCCCCTTTTACAGAAGGAACTTAGGCTCAGAGGAGTTTTTAAAATAATGTTCCCAACTCGGTGCCTGTGGCTCAAGTGGCTAAGGCGCCAGCCATATACACCTAAGGTGACAGGTTTGAATCCAGCCTGGGCCTGCCAAACAATGATGGCTGCAACCAAAAAATAGCCGGGCGTTGTGGCGGGCACCTGTGGTCCCAGCTACTTGGTAGGTGGAGGCAGGAGCCTCTCTTGAGCTCAGGAGTTGGAGGTTGCTGTGAGCTGTGATGCCATAACACTCTACCCAGGGGGACAGCTTGAGGCTCTGTCTCAAAAAATAATAATAATAATAATAATAATGTTCCCATGGCTTGGCACCCATTGCCCAGTGGTTAGGGCGCCAGCTACATACACCGGGGCTGGCAGGTTTGAACCTGGCCCAGGCCAGTGAAACAACAATGACAACTACAACAACAACAAAAAATAGCTGGGTGTTGTGGTGGGTACCTGTAGTCTCAGCTACTTGGGAGGCTGAGGCAAGAGAATCGCTTAAGCCCCAGGGTTTGAGGTTGCTGTGAGCTGTGATGCCATAGCACTCAACCGAGGGCGACATAGTAAAACTGTGTCTCAGAAAATAAATAAAAAACAAAATAATGTTCCTAAAGTCACCCAGCTGCTAAGGGGTGAAGCCAAAGTGAATCCTGACCCACACCAAACCACTGGGACTTTGGAGTCAGTCATTGAAGGTCTGCCCCATCCTCTTGGAGCACTTGAAGGTCTTTCTGTAGGCCAGAGAATAGACCACTGAGGTGTAACTAGCTTCTTCCTCTGCTCCCCCACTCTCCATACTAAGCATAGCTTGATGGTGAAATTAGTGACCCAGTTTCTACATTGTCAGACCTGGGGATCAGTTCTGAAGCCTTAAAAGAACATTCCAAGAACTAAGGCTCACTTTACTCACCTGAAGGCATCTCAATAAATGCATGACAAGAGCATAAGTAGGTTCTCTGCTTTTGCAGCATTGTTTATTACGAGAAACCTATAATTACTCTTTTAGACAAAATTTGAGGTCCCAGGCCTCATTTCTGGGTCTAATCCATCTTAAATACTAGTAGGGGAAGGGAGAGGAGGAAACTGGCTGCTTTGAGCTCCTACTGGAGCTTCCCTACCTAGTCCCCCAGTTTGGACCCTTGTGCCATTGTAGCTTTGAGGGTGTGTGACATGGCACCTGCACAAGTGGTGACCAGAGGAGTAACCAATGGGATCACTAATCTGGCCTTCTGTGGCAACCCCCACCCCACCCCGATGGAGTGCCAGGGTCTTCTGTGCCCTCCACACCTGGGGACAAAGTTCCAGGAAGTTTACCTCTTGTGTTAGGAAGTGAGCTCAAGTTCAGTGTCTCTGCTTCTGGTGCCACAGAAGCCACACACCCCCCATCACGTGGCATCTGGAAAATGTGCTCTACTCAGGATTGATCCAGGGAACAGTCACAGGTAGAGAAAATAGAGGGAGTGGCAATTTAAATTCACCCTTGACCCTGTGCCCAGGGAGGAGGTAAAATCTGTCCACCTCCCTCTGTCCATTCTCTGCCAAGTCCACCTCCCTGCTGGCCCTATCATTGCTTCAAGGAGGGCTGTCCTTCCTGGATGAGTATTCACCCCTGAATTGGAGTGCCTTTGTATGTGGTCAGGAGAGGGTGGGAAAACCCTTGCTGTCTCAAGCCTTACAAAAATGAGGCACGTAAATACAAACCTAACAGCCAGACATTTCCTGCCAGCAGGCATCAACTGCCTCCACAATGGCTTCAGCTATGACCAAAACGGCCAGTGTGGCAAGCTCCTGTCTCAGATCCAGCTGATGGCAGGGAGCCAGGAGGTGCTAGCATCTTCCTCAGCCCTTCACTGTCCTTTGCCCTCCCGACGATGAAAGAGGTTGGGGTTCTCTGCCAGTGTGGGTCGAACTTTGTTCTCCTTAAAGCGGCCTGAATTGGAGACTTTCACATGCTTGCCCTTTGTGTTCTTGTCCACAATCTTCTCCAGGCGGGTGTTAAAGTTGCTGTCGGGGCCCCCAGCACCAGGCCCCGGGGGCTCTGCACCTCCCTCCGTTTGAGCATAGGTGTCAGGGATCTCATACAGCACCTTGGGAGTGGATTTCTTTTTCCGGAGGAAGGTCAGCTTCCACCAACCAACTTCAGCCATGGTGCTCCCTGAGCCTCAGCTTTCTGTTGGAGCAGAGTGGGGAGACAAAGGGGTCAGCAGGAGGAGGGGTGGGCCCTTTGGACCAGTGCTCCCTAGACTCCTAATCATGGGCTCTTCCAGGTCAACAGGAAGCCACCCAAGCCAGACAGAGGGTCCACACCATTCCCTTGCAGGATTGTAGAGAGCTTTGAGAACATTCCTGCCAGGCCTCTCAGGGCTGCAGACAGGTGAACAACTTGCCCAGGTCACACAGCATCCAGCCCTTTGATACTGTTCCCAAACTCTTCCTGTTGCCAGGTGTGGGCAGAGGGATGGAATCACCTTGTGCATTTTGCTTGGAATTGATTACAAAATTGAATAGAATTCGTGATATTCCAAGCAATTTGAACTTCCCTATGGTGACCATCACGGCTAATGCAGCTGGGAACTGCCCTAGCTTTGTGATTCCAGCAAGCCTCTTCTCTGAGGCTCAGTTTTCTCATCCATCCTTTCCAGTCCTAGCATTTAGCTCTACTGGTAATCCCTGCACACAGAGGGTAGCCATGCTTTGCAAAATAAAACTTATGATAATGGGATTAATTATTAAGGGACATGTCCCTTCTCCACCAATCTTCCACAAGGACAGAAGTTGGGCAATTAGGTGGAGCCCAGAGGTACTCATGAGATGTGGTCAACATAGGCTGTACCTTCTGTAAGGGCACTGACTAGGGCAGGGTGCAGGGGTGAAATCAGGCCTCTCCACTGCCAGACAATGTGCCTTGACATGGAACTGCCTTCTCCAAGGGCCTCACTTTTTACTAATTTTCACAAAGGTGCTGGTGAGCTAGTAGTGGAAGTTCTGGGACATGAAAGTTGCCTAGACAGTGGCTGGGGCAGGCAAGGTAGGGGCAGGGGATGGTCGACTACAGCAGGCAGAGGCCCGGAGACTACAGGTGAGGTGGGTGCTGTAGTTCCCAGGACTCGAGGAAGAGTGTGCAGCAGCTGGCCAGTGTACACCAGAAAGCTGGGAGCTCAGCCAACATGGCCCAGGCAAATGTATTTCCTCCTTTGAAAAATGGGTGGTCTTCACAGTGTTTTCAAAAAAGACCAGAAAAAAATACTCCAGGTGGGGCTCAGTGACTCACACCTGTACTCCTAGCACTCTGGGAGGCCAAGGCCAATGGATTACTTGAGCTCAGGAGTTTGAGACCAGCCTGAGCAAGAGCAAGACCCTGTCTCTACTAAAAATAGGAGGCTACTTGGGAGGCTGAAGCAAGAGGATCGTTTGTGCCCAGGAGTTTAAGGTTGCTGTGAGCTGTGATGACACCATGGGTCTCTATCCTAGAGAGACTAAGCTAACATGAGACTCTGTCTCCAAAAAAAAAAAAAAAGGGATTGGCTGGGCACTTGGGAGACCAAGGTGGGTGGATTGCCTGACCTCATGAGTTCGAGACCAGCCTGAGCAAAAGTGAGACCCCATCTCTAAAAATAGCCGGGTTTTGTGGCAGGTGCCTGTAGTCTCAGCTACTTGGAAGGCTGAGGCAAGAGAATTGCTTAAGTCTAAGAGTTTGAGGTTGCTGTGAGCTGTGATGCCACAGCATTCTACTACCAAGGGTGACAAAGTGAGACTCTGTCTCAAAAAAAAAATAAAAAGTCCTTTTTAGAGATGGGATCTTGTAATATTGCCCAGGCAAGTCTAGAACTTCTGGGTTCAAGACCTCAGCCCCTGAAAGTGCTGGGATTACAGGCATGAGCCACCACACCTGGCCTCCTCTCTAATTTTCTGACTTCCAGAATTTCCATAAGGGAACATGTCAAATTCAGGAAAAATGAAAGCAGGATGCAGGCCTGGGCTTGTAAGGAGTTGAATGCCTATGCGGATCTGTCACTGCTATTGTCTCCTGCCCCTCCATATTCTCACCCCCTCCTCAGAGCACACACCCAGAGGTCTCCTTCCCACTTTTTTGTCTGGGAAGCAGCTCCCACATTGCTAGCTTTGTCCCTTTAGCAGGAGGCAACTAGCAAGAAGCTGAGGAGAGATCTCATGCAGCTCCCACTCAGAGAGTGAAAGAGAGGGTGAGAGTGGCCAGATAAATCCTTTTAGGGCACCCTGGAGAGGTGAGTGCACCAAGGAACAGCCTGAGACGTTTGCTTTGGCAGCTTGCCCCACCTGGGTTTAACACAGCCTCACACAGAACTTGGTGTTCCAGAATGGGTTTCTGGAAGGAGGTGAGGAAAGGGCAGGGAAGGAAGGACAGGGTGCTTGTTTGGTCTGTGGGTGCCCCTGTCACTGCCTTGTCTAAGGCAAGGTCCATAGCCCCACCAGCAACCCATCCAGAGCTACCAAAGAACTTGGGAGATGGAAGAACAGAAGATCCCGCTCCTGAGCTAACTATAACCACGAGATTTCCTAGCTCCATGAGAGAAAGTAGCTTCTGCCTCTGCCAGTACAAATGTGCCCATTTTAACAGGTATTTCAAGTTGGCATCCCCAGGGCTTAACTCTTCTTGGAGTAAAGGGAGCCACAGATCACGAGGAACTGGTCAGAAAACACAGAGATAGGAATAGCCCATGCTGCCCTGTCCTAGGGCCTCCACCAAAGCACCAAGGCACTGGTGCTCTTGCGTCCTGGTCTTGTACCCTGGCATCCCTAGGATGCTCTTTGCAGGCTGTCCTATCTATTCTGTTCAGGAGGACTTGTGGACACCAGTAAGCAGGTGTCTGCCCCTGTAGGCAGGCCTGACAAGGAAATCTGAATTTGAGAAACAGATTAATTAGTGGACTATTCTTTGTTTTACAAAATAACCCAGGTATAGGATTCTTTAGATGGTGATGATAAAAGACGGTATGAAATCTGATTTACTTTAAAAACAGCCAAAAAAAGGTGATATGTTGTCCAAACTTCCCAGATACTCAGAGTTGCAAAAAACAAGACAGCCACAGCTACATCCCAACCAGAGAGGGGACTTGGGACAGGGAGCATGGGTGAATGGGATTTCAAACAGACCCAGCATTTAGTGACATGTGGTGGGCCCTGCAGTCCGCTTGTGCAAGGCGCTGAGCTGGCCAAGCTGCCTCTGGTCCCTTGCCCTGGGGCACTGCAATCCGTGGGATGATAGAAATCAGCCTCTGAGGACTCCAGTGCCACCTCTGCTGTTTGCACAGCTTTGGGGCCCATAAAGGGCCTCCTGGGACAGCCCGCCACCCCCTGCCTTTGGCGGTCAACACTGGGTCATGCAAGTGGCTGCCCCAGGACAGGTCCCTCCACCCCAACTGGGTTCTGTGAAGGGCTTTGCCTAGACTGGGCTGGGCCCCTTCTGAGCTGGGACAAGTTAACCATTGACTGGGGTGGGGGTGGCGGGGTGGAGGTGCAGATAGGGGGTGCAAGTCAGCTTCTGTGTTGTAAGACAAAACCTGCAATCCCCTCCCCCATCTTTCTGCTGAGCCCCTAGTGCCACTTGTCCATGCTGAACATGACAGGGGTACGCTGGACTGGAAAGGAGAAATGCACCTATGAGACAGCTGGAAGCATGTTCCAAGCTGAGAGGTCGGAGGGGATGGGCTCCAGGTAAGCAAGAGTTAAAAGACAACTGCTCTGGAGTGTAACTTTCTCAGCAGGATCTCTGTTGGAGGCCTGGAATTGATTCCAAGAGGTCAGTGGGATGAGTCCAGAATGGAAACAGCTTGTTTGGGTTTCCCTTCCCCCTGGGCTTGTCAACCATGCAGGCAGGACTGGGTGCCCAGACTGAGACTGTGCCTTGATTTCCCCACCCACCAGCCCTCTGCATGTACCTGTAATCCCGACTGCTCCGGGCTGGAGGTGAGACCTTCCCTAGAGGAGTTGAGTGTAGGAGCTGCCTGGGAGGGTGAGACTTGGGGAAGAGGAGGTGCCTCCAGGGTGCCACAGCAGGCAAGGCTCAGGCCAGGAGAGTGGGTAGGAGCAGCTGTACCTCAGGTGCAAGAGAAACAGGTGCAGGAGTGGGTACCTGCTCGCTCCACTGCCGCTCCCGGAGTCAAGGTGAACCTGAAACCCAGCCCCTCCCGGCTAAGTAAACAGAAGCAGAGGCCGGCTCAGGCTAATGAATATTCATCACCCCAGAAATCCAATCCCAGAGCCCCTACATCTACCCAGAAGCCAGGGTCCTCCAGGGACCGCTGAGCCAGAGGAGGGAATCCCAAGGGAAGTCTGGGGTGGGGAGCACACAGCCTCCCTACTCAGTTCCCCCAGTCTCAGGTGTCTGGTTGCACCCCCTCCTCAGGCTGTAGCTAAGATCACCCTCACCCATTTCATCCTCCAGCGAGGCTCAGACCCCATCACTAGCATGACCACCAACTGGATGTTGCTCAGGATATAACCGGGAAAGGGTTAAAGGCCAGTACTCCCATTGGCAGTCTGGGCAGGAGAGCACCCC